ACGTGTGCTCTTCCGATCTGTTTCCAGAAATATACTGCCATCGGAGAATATAGGCGTGAGTCTAGCTCTAAGCGGCGAAGGATTTCATAATTACCACCATGTGTTTCCCTGGGACTATCGAGCGTCCGAGTTCAATTGGTACGCTTTGAACCACTCGGCATTCTTCATCGACATGTTTGCGAAAATTGGATGGGCCTACAACCTTAAGAAACCGTCCCCCGAGTTAGTAAAACGAATTGCTGCCGAGAAGGGAGATGGCTCCCGTGCTACGTGGGATGAAGTCCCACTGTGCGATTAAAGATTAACCAGCAAATGTGGCAGAAAAATACAACATAGAATCAATTACTTTATTTGTAAGAGAATACGAAAGTGTTTCCCTCCGATTTTAATGAGCTTTGGATATATTAAAATACAAAAATAAAATACCCATTATTTTTTATACGTGTTGAGTCGCACTTTAAGAGGATAACATCCAGCCTTGAAAAAATCAATTATAAAGTAAATAATGTAAACCGATAAAGATATGAAAAAATGTTTTCAATAAAAGTTTTATTTCAAGTGCACTTTGTGGTGCGTTTTAATTTAAAGAAATCATATTTTTTACTATCTCTTACCCTCCTATTCTTAATTTTCAAAAAATTTTCAATTTTTATAAAGACAATGTTAAAATGCATTTTACGCTGAAAACAATGATGTACGATATAAGATCAGATAACATCTTTAGGAAATGAGTGGGAAACATCTCTATATGCATACTCTGTACATGCGTATTCGTCTCATCCCATTGGCTGCGCGTGATAGCGTTGAAGACAACACAGAATTCATAAAAAAAAAACAAGAACTTTTTATAATAGTAACAAGAATTATGTTATTATTATTATTATTATTATTATTATTATTATTATTATTATTAATGTAGTAAGCTTGTTATAAACTGCTAAAACTGCTGATTGGGCGACTGTTGCTTTTTAAGGTGCCCACAGTATGCAGCGCGCCGTGAAATACCCGCCTCAAGTCCGGCACGGACTCACTCTTCAATCTTGGTAGAGCGGTGAAGGTCGCGAAGCAGGACCTCAAGCGCTTGTTCGCACACCGTTCGGCAAGCATGTTCCACGCGCGCGAGTAATTTTCCGCTGTGGAGATCAGATTGCGCACCAGCTGTTCTGCCTCCCCCTTCAAGGATGTTTTTAGATAGTGGAGTTTCTCCAGTCGCGACAGTGCGGCATCCTCGTCGACGATCGAGCGGAAAAGGTCCTTGAAGGCCGGCTACTCCTCGTATTTCCCGGAGAAGGTGAGGAGCTGGATTCGCGAAAGCGTCTTCCGGGGCATCATCTCCTCCCTTGTGCTCCGTTGCGACGGGCCTGGCCTCGATCTGAAGCTTCGCGAGCAAGTCGACCAGGACGGCGCGCTGCACTATGTAGCTTTCTTCCACTTGCTTGAAGCACGCGGACTTGACATATTCGCGGTCATTGATCAGCTTCCAGTGATCGGATCGCAGCGTGTTGTGTGTTTTCAAATTTCGCCTTGTTCGAATCGAGGAGTCTCAGCCTCGTGTCCACCGCTCCGGGCGTGATTTTTGCCGTCCTTGCCTTCTTCAAATTCTCCATTGTACGGGCGATACGACCTTGGAGTTATTGCTGGTTCAGAAGTAGGTTCTCCGCGTTGAGACTCATTGTTCGTTTCCGTCGCGATCACCGCTGTCACGATCCCATCATTCACACCAGTCCCATGCGAGAAAATGCCGAGGTTTGCACCGGTACAAAGAGAAAACCTATCTGGCTCGAAGGATCAGAATGTTCCCGATACGGTTGACGTGCGACGGGAATTTGCGAGTAGGAAGATCAAAACGGGAGTTTAACGCAGTCTCTTTGGCAACACAAAAAACATTTATTATTTACACTACTAGCACTACAGACGCGCGCACTAATTTATTACACTTTTAATTTTTACTATAAGTGACTATAATTATACATCAACTTCAATACATATGTACAATTGTCAAAAGTCAATGTAATGACAGCCGCTCACGAAGTTAGCGCAGCGAGAGAACCAATAAGCATTGCGGAAAAGAGTCAATAATCAGCCTCTTCAGCACAATCGAATGAGACTTGTGTAGAAATTATCTCCTGTTTAGTCGCTAATTAATCACGCAAATCTCGATTTTTTCACCGCAGCCGTTTCGGAAAAAAAAAAATTAAATATGACCTATTTGATACAGTGTAGACCGTTGGGATAGATGGACATAAAATTGATTCAATTGATCCTACACCAATGTTATTTTACATTCGCATCTCCTTCCTCAGGTGGTATCTGTATATGATGTTGCCTTGCTCTTTTATTATACCAGCATCAGTACCTTGGTGGTTGTGGGATGAGAGTTTATGATATTCGTGGCATCTTGCAATCTTCAGATATTGCATAAACCTGAATGCTACTTACAATTCTTTATTTTTATAACTTATTTTTAAAAGTAAAAATATTTTTTAATTTTTTTAAAAATGCAGAACATTCTTTAACATTTATCAGGAACGGTAGAATTATGGAAAATGATACTGGAACTTTTTTTTATATATTATTATTTTTTTAAAATTAAAATGTGCTAACTTCACAGACACATAAAATTAATATATATATATATATATATATATATATATATATATGTGTGTATAGATATATATATAAAATATGTCTATACTGTATATAGTATTAAGGTAAATGTCCCAATTAATGACATTGTCCTAATTTGTGACAATCGTGTGTCTTTTTCTCAAGAAATCAATTAATATAAAGCAATATTTAGTCGAAAAAATGTGTTAGTATTTAAAATTGTACATATTAATTTATTACAACAAATTTTTAATAAAATTAAACGCTTTTGTAAACGCTAAAATATTATAATTATAAGCATGCTGCTAATGATGACAAATCGAGCCATTGCTTACTGATATCTTACGAGGCAATGACTATATCGACGATCCTTCCATCGATTAATTCTAGCTATTATTAAGCTAAAAAGAAATGAAAAGTAAACACTCAAAGTTAAGTATATATTAAGGAATATTGTGAATAAACTGAAAACGTCACAAAATACATATTTTTGTAATTAATGAATATGTCACTAATCGGTAATAAAATATTTGTCTTTATTACTGACAGTCGAAATAAATATAATATAAAATGATAAAAACGTTCTTATTTTTAAAGAAGCCATGGAAATTTATAAATATCAATCATCATTGAATTAAGGAATAGCATTAATATCGTAATAAATCCTTCCAAAATTTAGAAAATTAATACAACTTCGAAGATCGGAAGAGCACA